AGAGTTTTTAATTTTTTCTTCTCACTCCAAGTAATGGCAAAATTAAATAAAAAAAAGTTAATGCAAAATTAAATAAAAAAAGTTAAAAGACGAGAGTTTTTAATTTTTTCTTCTCACTCCAAGTAATGGCAAAATTAAATAAAAAAAAAGTTAATGCAAAATTAAATAAAAAAAGTTAAAAAACGAGAGTTTTTAATTTTTTCTTCTCACTCCAAGTAATGGCAAAATTAAATAAAAGCTTTATAGCCACCGTCTAGTAGACTAGTCCCTCCATCGTCTAAAAAGGAATTTAACTCATTCAGTTCAATTTTAAGAAAATTATTACGTTTTAAAAGGTGTACGAACACTTTTGCGGGCCACTGTACGTACATATATGTACATTTGACACACATCGAATATTCCAGCGCGTTCTTCCAAACGCAACCGCGTCGCAAAGAAGTTTTACGCGGATCGGTGTATCGATAAGATTACAGTTGGATTCTCGCGACGCTAAACTATCTTTACGAAGGAATAGCAAGAGTATGAGAATGTTCCACTTACCCGAACGTCCACCAAATATCGAAGCACATCACGTTCAACCAGAAGAAGCTGGCCAGAAACGAGAAGTAGATAATATAAGCTGAAAGAAACAATGTCGCGTCAGAATTATGATTCGCGCACGGCGATCTACAACACGTATCGTTGGTTGCTTAATTGTTAGGTAATCTTAATTGGTAAATAAACGGCGAATGGTAAACGTAATACACGAGGGGGGAAAAACGGCGCGCTCCCAAGAACCTCTGACTCATGGCCCCAATTAAATGATGACAATTTCTGGATTTTTGTTCGATCGAATGAACGAACGGGTCGCGTCGAGACACCGGGATACGAGCAAAATCGATGAAATGAGCCGTTTATTTTGAAAGTGGCATAAGTCACTTTGCTTTTAAGTCGACGTATTTAAGGGTTTGCGTTTCGACACGTTTAAAAATATGGAGATACTAACTTTCGAGTGTAAATAATTTCGTATAAACATGAAAAAAATCACCACTTTTCATTACGGTGAAGTGACTTGTGCCACTTTCAAAATAAACGGCTGAAATTAATGAAACGACGGGGTATACCGAAAGCAAAGCAGAGGAAATCCGAAATATCTTTTTGCGGCGTGGTCTGCAAGATCGCGAGCAGAATGTAGGCGACCAGCAGGCTGCCGATGTATCCGCGAAGCGTGAGCCCATGCATATTGTTCAGCTCCGGTACCACGGTGTAAACGAGGAAGGTTACAAAGAGAAACGGCGTCGACAAGATCATTCCGATGGGATACGCCATGTTGACATTGACGTTGATCGCATCGTCCTCTTCGAGGAAGCAGATCAACACGTCCAACTTGTCGTAGGCGACACGGCCGAGACAATACTCGGCCCCGTTCAGGAACGCCTTGTTGGGCGGTCTGTAGAGCTTGCCGTTATCGAGAAGCTTGTATTCGTCGCTGGGATACTTGTCGGGGTTCAATTTGAACCGGCCCTTGTTGCAAGGGGAGGCAACGATGAAGCGAAACCGTTCCACTTTCGGCGATTTCTCGAGCAACTCGAACTCGCCGTCGGCACGATAAAGGGGTGGAAAACGTATAGTGTCGTTTATCCCGACGTGCTCGCATTGTCTTTTCACCACTCGCTCCTCGAGCGGGCAACAGAGGACGACCGTAACCCGAGATGTACGATTAACGAATCCTTGGTCCCTCCTCGCGATTCCCACGGCCTCGGGCGTCGAGGAACACTCCAGGCTTATCGCGTGAATCAATATCACAGATATCAACGATACCAAGCGCGTCGTCGAGACCATTTTCGAACCAAGATGGACACGAGTCAACATCTTGGTAGGTACGTACTCACGAACCGACTGTTTATCAATGAGTCTTTGCTGATATGTCGCGGTCAGACCAGGCGCATTATCACGTTACGCGGAAACGACCAACCGAACCCAATCTTTCTCCCGTAATATGGGGAGTGTCCTTTCACTCGTATTTATGCGACCTTGACACGTTACGACGACACGAGTTACATTTCGCCTCGATTCAACCCCCGCTTTCAACGATTCCGTGATCACCGTGGCCAGTTCCGTTACCCTTTTAACCCCTTAACGCTCGTGTGCCGATGTCTAACGCGGGCACGATGAATAAATAAAAAAAAGGAAGTTTTGAACCGTATAAACTTTATTTTTGATACTACGTTTCATTATCTACAGGGTGTCCCAAAAATGTCTCGCAATCCGAAAGTAGGGGATTCCTGAGGTGATTTGAAGCAACTTTTTCCTTAGCGAAAATGCAATCCGCGGCCTCGTTTACGAGTTATTAACGAAAAACAGTAACCAATCAGAGGCGAGATCATTTTTCGCGAGACGGCCGAACCAATGAGCGGAACTAGGCTCCGTGCACTCGTTGGCCGGGCCGCCGCGTGCCAGCCGAGCTCGCCTCTTATTGGTCAGTGTTATTCGTTAATAACTCGTAAACGAAGCCTCGGAGACAATTTTCGCAAAGGAAACAGTTGCTTCAAATGACCTCAGGACCTTTAGGGACACCCTGTATACCTGCGCAAGAGATGTCTACCACAGGAGTTTTCTGTTGACAATCGAGCGAAAACATGTTTAGACATCGATTTCACAGTTTTGGTATGGCAAATGAAAATTATTCTGCCTTAATTCCTCGCCGTACTTTAACGAGTCAGACTCGTGGGTGGTGCAGATTTCTAGTAATATGCTATTAAATACCAATGTTGTTATTTTCCGTTTTTTTAAGCTGAGATAAAATTCTGTCCTCTTTTGTGATCAACATTTTAATCGCCCCACTAAATGTAGACACACGATAAATATAAATTTTCCTTTTTTTTCGAAGAAATTATTACAATCGAAAATGTGCTTATCATTTTAATTATGAAGAAAATAGTACGGCAAGGGGTTAACCTAACGTAGACGATTCTCTAATTTAAATAGCTAATCGTTTAAACCGACTGCTAGACTGTTAGAATTTTGATAGAACCTTCGTAACCTTGGGCAAAGACGCACTCAAGTTCGCTATGCCAGAATTACATTCTGAATGCAAGGTGCAAGTCCGGTTGCCCTCGGGCGCGGGTGCATCGCACCCCTGCAAACTGCAACTTAGAAACCGTCGCGCCAGGATGCCGATATCTTTGATCCATAGTTTATGCATTACGTATTGCCGAACAATGAGCTTTGAATGAGTTCTCTAAAGAGATCTATATCTATCGCGTCACAGTTTACAGATGATTCGATCACAAACGTACATAAATATTATGTTGGGAAATAAGTTCGTAGAGCGTCTCTATATTTTCTTTTATTTTACAACGATTTTTTGCTGTTTGACGAAGTGTATAATATTCATTCGATAGAGCTCTTTCTGCTCTGCAAAACTGTGCTAATCGTCTTTTTGAGTAATTTAATTTTTTNTTCCGTTACCCTTTTAACCCCTTAACGCTCGTGTGCCGATGTCTAACGCGGGCACGATGAATAAATAAAAAAAAGGAAGTTTTGAACCGTATAAACTTTATTTTTGATACTACGTTTCATTATCTACAGGGTGTCCCAAAAATGTCTCGCAATCCGAAAGTAGGGGATTCCTGAGGTGATTTGAAGCAACTTTTTCCTTAGCGAAAATGCAATCCGCGGCCTCGTTTACGAGTTATTAACGAAAAACAGTAACCAATCAGAGGCGAGATCATTTTTCGCGAGACGGCCGAACCAATGAGCGGAACTAGGCTCCGTGCACTCGTTGGCCGGGCCGCCGCGTGCCAGCCGAGCTCGCCTCTTATTGGTCAGTGTTATTCGTTAATAACTCGTAAACGAAGCCTCGGAGACAATTTTCGCAAAGGAAACAGTTGCTTCAAATGACCTCAGGACCTTTAGGGACACCCTGTATACCTGCGCAAGAGATGTCTACCACAGGAGTTTTCTGTTGACAATCGAGCGAAAACATGTTTAGACATCGATTTCACAGTTTTGGTATGGCAAATGAAAATTATTCTGCCTTAATTCCTCGCCGTACTTTAACGAGTCAGACTCGTGGGTGGTGCAGATTTCTAGTAATATGCTATTAAATACCAATGTTGTTATTTTCCGTTTTTTTAAGCTGAGATAAAATTCTGTCCTCTTTTGTGATCAACATTTTAATCGCCCCACTAAATGTAGACACACGATAAATATAAATTTTCCTTTTTTTTCGAAGAAATTATTACAATCGAAAATGTGCTTATCATTTTAATTATGAAGAAAATAGTACGGCAAGGGGTTAACCTAACGTAGACGATTCTCTAATTTAAATAGCTAATCGTTTAAACCGACTGCTAGACTGTTAGAATTTTGATAGAACCTTCGTAACCTTGGGCAAAGACGCACTCAAGTTCGCTATGCCAGAATTACATTCTGAATGCAAGGTGCAAGTCCGGTTGCCCTCGGGCGCGGGTGCATCGCACCCCTGCAAACTGCAACTTAGAAACCGTCGCGCCAGGATGCCGATATCTTTGATCCATAGTTTATGCATTACGTATTGCCGAACAATGAGCTTTGAATGAGTTCTCTAAAGAGATCTATATCTATCGCGTCACAGTTTACAGATGATTCGATCACAAACGTACATAAATATTATGTTGGGAAATAAGTTCGTAGAGCGTCTCTATATTTTCTTTTATTTTACAACGATTTTTTGCTGTTTGACGAAGTGTATAATATTCGTTCGATAGAGCTCTTTCTGCTCTACAAAACTGTGCTAATCGTCTTTTTGAGTAGTCTAATTTTTTATTACTTTTGAGGCTTAGAAATGGAATATCCAGGAGGTAAAAAGCAACATTTTCGACAGCTTCTCTTCTTCGCTTTTCATCGAGGCCAAAAAGCTGCCGAAGCAGCTCGGGACATTTGCAATGTATACGAAGAAAGTGTCATAGGCGAGTCTACAGCACGGAAATGGTTTGCGAAGTTCAAAAATGGCGATTTTGACGTCGACGACACGCCCCGCAGCGGAAGACCTTCCGAATTCGACGAAGAGCGTCTCGAAGCACTTTTGAAGGAGGACGATCACCGAACGAGTCGTGAATTGGCCGAAAAAATGAACTGCGATCGTAAAACGATTCTCAATATTTCGGATTTGCCGAAATATTGGGAGCCTGAAATATTTTTCAAATAAAAACGCTACGAACTTATCCCCCAATAAATAATATAACGTTGTTTCTCGAAAAGCTATCGAACAGGTGTTTTTGGCTCGTTTAGCTTTCGCCGAGTGGCGTCGCTTCATTTCGTTCCGTGTCGTCTCTGTACCGGTCTCGGTGAAAAGAAGGGACGGAGAAAATGGAAAAAGAAACGCAAAAATACTTACCGATGGTGGAGCAGAGGCCGGTTGCAATGTTCGCGAACACCTTGGGCTGCGCGAGGAAGGTGTAGGCAAGGATAAGACAGGCGACGTAGCACATCAGGGTTTTGCCGTACAGACTTCTCAGTTCCGGAATGATCGCATAAACGAGAAAGGTCGCGAGGAAGAACGGTATGGAGATTATCATGGCGATGCTGTACGATCGCTCTTGTTCGATTCCTTCGTCTACCACGACCGCGGCGTCCTTCGATATGCAGACAAGCACGCCGATCCTTTGGAAGGACTCCTTCCAATCGAGACAGTAGCTCCAGGCCGGAAAAGTGTTCGAATTAGTTCGCAGCGTGCCGTTCTTTTCGAGGACGAACGCGTCTTCCTCGATTTCTTCGGGCTCGAGCATGTATCTGTAAGTGTTCTCAGGACAGTCCATGGTCCGGACGACTTTGAACAGCTCCCGGGCGGATACGTCGCGGTTCCCTTTGTCCCGAACGATCTCCGAAGCAAGGTGATGCCGTTGGAGGACCAGATCGGAAACGGACGATTCCGAACTGACCGGTAGCCGAGTACAGTCCGGCCGAACGCCTGCACCGAGCATCATGTTGTGACCGCAACATTTCTGCACGCAGGCCGTCAAATTGCACACGCACCCGATTGTTTCGTTTTCGAACACCCGATAAGAACCCACCGGAAACCGTAACTGGTCGTACAACAAGGTTTCGTCCTTGAGCTGTTGCATCTTCTTCTCCTCCAAGACGATCCCGCGAAACGGTCGGCAGAACTCCTCTTTACCCTTCTCCTCGGACCTCTCGCCCTCGAGCACATGTCCGCACCCGTATCCGAACCAACAGACGGACATCAACGAAATCCCACGAAACACGAATCCCGTTCGCATCCTGACGGGACTTTACGTCGGCAACCCTTCTCTAAACTTTCCCGGCAGCTCGGATGATCCTCGTCACGGCGTTGCTCATCCTGTGCCGCCGTAAAATCTTCTTGTATCGATCGGCTAAATCGAATATTAGGTTCGATCTGTTGTCGATCGCTGTCAAAATCCCCGGCGAAATTACTCGAGCTGGTTTCGGCTGCTTGAACAGTCTTTGACTGCCCTCCGAACTGTCCGAGTTGCCGCGCAAGTTGTCCCGATCCCTGCGCGAATCTCGCGACAGTCAACGCCACCCGCACGGTTACGTCGCCGTCAAGTAGCTTCCAGAGGATCAACCACCCTTCTATTCTCGTGCCGTTTTCTCGTACCGTTCATCGATCCGAGGCCCGTGTTCGAGAACACATAATCGGTAAACTAGAGCGCAGCACTTCCTCTTTTCGGCAATGCCCGGACTAACCATCCCGCAACAAACTCTCGTGTTTCTTTAAATCATTATCTTCGGTAGCCGGATCTCATGGACAGACCGTGCTAAGAACTCTTTATTTGTTCAACAAACACGATATTTTCGCGCCGACGGACGTCAAGCAGATCTAATTCAAAGATTTGCAAATCACGCGCGCAAGTACTTTTAGCAATCTATGCATACATACGGCGGCTCGTGAAAATGTTCGTATCTTTTCCAACGGAACGACCGTTTAAAAATCCAACCGAATTGTATGAATTTTTCGGAAGACTTTAGAAGGACCGAATTACTATTCGCAACTGACAAGAATGAGTCTGTAAGTCAACACGAGTACGTTTGCTCCGGCGTCTTCGTGTTACCTCCGGTACTATGTATAATAAACAATGCGTAAAAAAATGTTTACAAAAATTTTGAAATTGCATCAAAATTCGTTGACGTTATCATGATCTGCGAATAATTGCGAATCGTGAAGATAGAAGTTGGAGAAATACAGGATAACGGTTGAAATGGATTGTTTGGGATAGCTTATATACGGATTAGTGACGAATCAGCTATTTGCGGGAAACGCTGAGAACTTTCTAATATTCTAACCCTCTGGTGGCAAGTATTATGAGCAGCCGTCATATGTATAATAAAGATAAAGATAGATTACCCGAAAGAGAGGCGGCGAGCAGAGGAAATTTTGAAAAGAGTGCCACAAGCTGAAACTATGTAGATTGTCTTCTTATCACTTTTGCCACTTTGTGAGAGTGCAACCTTTTGCATTCCTGTTCCGTTCGCAAGGCATCGTTCATTTTCTTTCGTAATCTAAGAACCTGATAACCTGAGATGACGAGTTAACTCGTCACTGAAGAGTGCTGTTCCAATGCGCATGCGTGCTCACCGTGTATATATGTAATTTTTTAAATTAAGAGATTACGCGCGTATATCAAGAGTCAACATATCATTCGCTTCTTATTATCACTATGCTGGTGCGATATTTTTCCACGTTTTTATTGGTCAAATACAGAGCTTTTGTTGACTTGAGCAGTGAAATCGAAAGAATGACGTTGCTTGTAAAATATTTCGAAAGAAACACAATATTGGCTTCGCATCGCCGCGTGTCGTTAAAGAAGATACGAATTTCACTCGTGGAACCGTACCGTAAAATAAAAATGTTCGAGGAACGTTCCACTAATATCGATATGTTGTTCACGATCGTGATTAGTATATCTCCGATAAAATGAAATTCGTGTTTTTTCACCCCATTCCGATTCTTTTATCTCACGTATCTCCTGCTTCGTTTCATTTCACATCTCACAGTCGGAGAATATCAAATCTCCCCCTTTCTCCATGAACTGGCAAATAATAAAATAATAGTAAAGACTCTTTGTTGTTGCGAAATGGTATCGATAATTCGCTCCAATTGCGCTCTCATTTTCTTTCGTAAGATCGCATAAGAATGTATGTACAAAACAGTTAAACGTACGATGGTACCAAAGATGATACCATAACCTTGAGACACTTATGCAAATATATGTGCGAAGCAAATGTTATCAAATTTATAAGGGCCATATTGAGTACGCATACGTATACGTGTACATATGTACAAGATAATCTTTGCACGCCAGCCTGGGTGATATAACACGTCTTGGAACAGCCGGAAGAGATTATAAACGATTTCCTGTTTTCCATAGTACGTTATATGTACGTGTACATACTATACATACTGACACAGCTTAGAATCCGTCTGCGATCCTAAGTCTGTGATACTGGTATCGCATACTGTTGTACATGATAGCGGCAATACCTACAGACGGCAAGACCAAAAGTTCCAGTTTAACGGTGCCGTTTCGTCGAATTATCACAATTATCAATTGTTCCACACGGGTTTCGACCGACGCGGTTAAAAAGATCGATATTCTCGGGCAACCTGTTGGTGTGAATCTTAGTAGATGGCAAATTTGGAGAAGCTGAAGTTGATATGGAAGCAGGCGGACGCAGTTACTTTCGATGTTGATTCCACTCTAATCCAGGAGGAAGGAATCGACGAACTCGCAAAATTTTGCGGAAAAGGAGAGGAGGTTGCTGCTTTGTAAGAGTTATTGTTTACGAAACGATTTTGTCTTCGGCTTTCTTTTTGTTTCCAGACTGATTTTGAACTCGAAACCGAACGGACCGGATCGGATCGTTCGATCGTGGACAAACAAAATTGAATCTGAATATTTTTTAGGACGAAACGGGCAATGCAGGGACATACTACGTTTCGACAATCTCTGACAAATCGATTAAACATCATAAATCCCAGTTTGACTCAAATAGAGCAGTTTTTGTCGTCGCATCCGCCGAAACTCTCGCCTGGCATTGAGTAGGGAACGATTTCAATCAATAAAACGTAAATGTTACACAGTTCACATCGACTTCTCTAAAATTCCTTATGAAAATTTCAGAGCTCTGGTAACAGCCCTTCGAGCGCATAAAAAACAAGTGTTTCTAATTTCTGGTGGCTTTCGTTGTTTAATCGCGCCAGTTGCGACAGCGCTTGCTATTCCATTAGAAAATGTGTTTGCAAATAGACTAAAATTCTATTACACGGGTTATTATTCGTTTCTGTTTGCATAAGCAAAGTATAATTAATGTCAGTATGATATCTTAGTGTTCAAACACGCCTTTTACAGGAGAATATGCTGGATTTGATGAGAATCAACCCACTGTGGAAAATGGTGGGAAAGCAAAAGTAATCCAGTATCTAAAAAATGAAAGGGGCCTTAAGTCTGTAGTTCACATTGGAGATGGAGCAACAGATTTAGAAACTGCTCCAGTAGCAGATTTATTTGTAGGTAGGTTTTGCCACTGCTGTAAATTTTCATTGATTCGATTTATCGTGTAATTTATACTTAATAAAATCTTATTCCTATTTTTATCTGTTTAGGATATGGAGGAGTTGTGGTGAGAGAGAGTGTACAATCAGGGTCTCCATGGTACATTACCAGTTTTGACCAACTTCTGAATGCTTTATAAAAGCATACAATATAACATTTTCATAGAAACATTTGTCTTGTACATCAGTAAAATCCATGACTCCTTTATTGCAATTTACTTCAAGTTAGTAGCGTTCATGTCGATTAAACGAGCAGGAAACATTATAAAGTGTATCTTCTTTACATGTATCATGTAGTAACAACGTTGTTATAGTTCTATGTTGTCTTACATAAAGATCGTTACATAATTGTATTCTGTTACAGAATACGATTTATCGTACTAACCGCAACGTTAAAATTCTATATAATGGCTCTAATTATAAAACGACACTGACATTTCTACATACTTATCAGAAGTATTGGTATACAAAAACATATGCTCCGTATGTGCCACGAAACAAATCTATTTAAAACAACAGGTATAACACATTTGACTTGTATTAGACGGTGTTTTTCTTTCTTTCTCATTGTCTGAGAAAGGTCATAGGTCAATATTGTGTACATATTTATTATATATCCTTTTTTCTTAAAATTGTGAAATTTTTAATTTTCCTTTATACTTGTCCAATGATTATTGACAATTTTTCATTCTTCCTTGTTTCTTCTTCTTTACCCAATCTTGAACTCTATGTTGAAGTTCAATGTTTGATTGTACCATATCCATTGTGAGAGGAGATCGATTAAATGGATCTGTTTGATCGCTCAGCAAATGCCTAAATAAGATCAAGATCGTACGGTTTTAAATACGGACTTCAAGTAAACAAAAAATAAGATATATTAACCTTGCAATGGTCTGGCGATCGATCGTTATCTTTGAGGATGGTAGAACTACAGGATCTGTCATCAGAGTAGACATGATAGGATCAAGAAATTCTTCAGGAGCATCTATCAGTATTTCCTCCTCCTCTCTCTTTTGACTCGCGGCTGCTTCTACGTTTTTCGCGAACTGGTTCAAATCACCTAGTATACCCACACCACCAATACGAACTAAAATATTACCAATAATTCATTTCGATTAATTTTTCTTCTAATTAAATTATTAAAATTAACTATGGGTCAATAATCAATCAATAAACAATGTCTATTTACCCAGAACATTGTCAGCCAATTGAAACAGCTCAGGTCTATATGATCGACCATCCTGAGAAACTGCCAGTGTGAATGATTCGACTTGACTAAGATTTACATAAATCTCGCATATATTCAGCACCAAATTTGCTGGATCAAACGCGTATTCCTTTTGATCGTTCACCTACAATCAAATCAATTTATTATACCAACATTTTATTTTTACGATACATGTATGATGCTTGATCATACTTCTTTTCTACCTTCATACTACCTTCAAGTTCTTTTTATTCGGTCCAACTAATTGAAGCAGCAAGTAATTAAGCATCGAAGCAATACGATCAACCATTGTCGGATGGCAAAAGATCGATTTTATCTCTGTCGTCAACATCTTTAACGTTTCTATTGTTTTCTTCCCCAATATATTATCAAATTTAGCAATCATTCCGAGATCAAGCAAATACCGAACTTGCTGGTCACGTTCGTGTTGCGGTAATCTGTTCCATTCTCCGCTTTCCCTTTAAATTCAGATTAATGTTGCATTATAAAAACCAAGAAAATTAAGAAATTACGTACGAGTACAACATACATGAAATCGTATACCTTGCCTGGATCAATTGTTTTAATTGGGCCATATTCGAAAGTGCTTCGTCTAATAAAAATACCGCGTCGTTCGTTAAAAGATTTATAAAACGCAGAAACAATGGCGGTTGAGCTGCTTCCATATTGGCTTCTGCTTCCTCAGCTAAAGCACTGGAAAATACAAATCTCAAATACAAACGAAAGTATATAGATTGAATATATGAATTGCTTTTATTATTTACATACATAAAAGTATCACGATGTTCTCGAAGTTTCCACAAATATTCCATTACGATATACATCGGTCGACGATATTTAAACTTCTGCTGAAATTGCACGCTTTGTCCTGTCATTTCGATACTTACAAATACTTTAAGTAAGTTAGGGACTATCTAAATTGCGAAATAAACAATTTTAAAGCCAGAGTAAAACATCAATATTCAAAAATATACAGGGTATCTCACCTAATTCGAGCATCTAAAATATCTCACTTGTTTTTTATGATAGAAAAAGATATCAGAGGAAAACAATTGGTTGGTTCAAAGGGACAAATATTATAATGGGCAAAAAAATTTGTTCAATGAGATTTTTGAGATTTCAATGGAGTGATGTATGTTTATCATCGTTATATGGTAGCCGAGGTATAAATGTTATGACCTTCACATGACCTTGAATACGGAAAAATCCTAAGAGTAGGGCAATTGATGTAATGCATTAATACCTCGCCGTGGTGCAGATACTCGATGGTCCCGCACTTTCGCCGGATCTTACACCTCTAGATTTGTTTTTTTAGGGTGTGATAAAATCAGAAGTTTATGATGACATTACTATAACACCGGAAATTATGAGAGACCGGATTAGAACCGCCTATGTTAATATCAGTGACCAAGTTATAAGGAGGTCCAAAGAATCGTTCATTAATCGGTTACATAAAATGTGTTGAATTTAATGGGCATCATCTCGAACATTTGCTGGAATAAATTTTCCTTCGCGATTTATTCTGTCATCGTTATTTCAAGGTCATGTGAAGTTGATAACATTTATAAATCGTTACATTCGTCTTAACCTCGGCTATCATACAATAATGATAGATATGTATCACTCCATCTAAAAAAACTTGAATGATCTTGAAATCTCAAAAGATAAAACCTTGAACAAATTTTCTTGGTGACATTTTTTTCTATTATAAAAAACAAACGAAATATTTTAGATGCTCGAGTTACATGAAACACCCTGTATACTTACATGTTGTCTATAGGGATGTGTAACAAATATTTGTTCTCTCTGGAATGTTCCTAAATTCAGCATCCACGGGTTCATAGTTTTGTCATTCATTGGTAAAAGAGCTTCTAAACCCTCTGCCAGCCGGGCACGTAAATGAGGGTTATATAACCGTTGCTGAGATTCCATCAGTACTATGATCTAAAGTAATACATCTAATCATTGTACCGAATAGTATCCACCTTATTTTATTATATGCGTATTTTAAACTTGCCTCTGTCAACACAGGTGTTAAAAAGAATGAGCCTTGTTCCTCGAAAACTTTTGGATTCATGCGGCACGGAAAACATAAAAATGTAATGGTATTCTCCACAACGAATTCAGGAATGCATCTAAACGTATGTAATGTCTTATTAAAAGCAGTGTAAGTGAGTTAGACCTGGATTAATACTCTCAGTAAGGAAATTTATGCTAACATACCTCAAAGTATCTGGAACAGTTTCCGGTAACGGAAATGTTACCTCTATATATTCTTTTGGAGTATAATCATATGATTTATCCTCTGCGACTTCCTCGTTGTTTAAATACACTTGTACCAACCAAAACGCTGTCGTTGCATGAAATTTTGCTAAAAGTTTTAACATCTCCGGGGCTAACAAACTTGCTTTTAACGATAAATACCTAAAAGCGAAATTTCAATTTAGAATTTCAATTTGTTGATCAAAATAAATTATACAACAGCGCATACTTAGTCATTTCTTCCTCCATGCGTTGTGTTATTATTTCAAATACCTCAGAACTGCCACCATTCTGTGCGTCCACGTAGACTCTTTGGATTTGTAGCAAATCCTGATTTGCTCTACAATTTCGCAAAACGTTAACAGTCTCGATATAGCTTTTAAGTATTAGAAAGTATAAAATTAATATTTCACGAATGACAAACCTTATAAGCTTATCTAATACTACTCTGTAACCAAGATCCAAAGCTCTGTGAGTTAGATAAAAACATTCAGTTGTGAAACTGAATGTTTTCGCGACTGGTCTGGCTCCGCCTTCTGAAGTTGGTATTAAACAAGTTTCCGAGGATAATCCTTTTAAATGTATAACATCGTTCAAAGAATCATCTTCAGTTATCTAGAAAAATAATCGAAATTTATAAGATACTGTTTAAAATTCAATAACTATTGATTCTTTTAAAATCGACTGACCTCCACTGCACAATACGTTGGATCTATTTTAGGCACTTTTGTTTGATTTTGTTTTATGCAAAATGGCTGACAAAGTCGCAGCAATACATATCCTAAATTTAACATAAACCCATCGGAGACACACAACATACCGTTCAGACCCATATCGTTCTGCGTGTTCGAAATTTTACCCCTACTCGCGTTTAAACGTAGACATTTGCCTATCCACATGAGTGTTAAGTTACGAATTTCACCAGAACGTTTTAACAACAAATGAAAGACTTTATGCAAAGATTCACTTAGTGTATCCAGAGCAGTCCAAATAGTGTCTTCAATGGTGGTGTTAGTCTACAATACAAGAGAGAATTATTTATTTACTTTCGTTATACAAATCAATTTTCAAACTTATAACTATTTTTGCTTGGTACTTGCCTGTCCGAACGACTTTTGAAAAAAATAGAATGGTTCATCTTTTGTTTTTGGCAAACAGCTTAAACTAAAAAGTGCACCCAATAATGTATCCGCGTAAGCTTTACCATGGACTACTATTCCCTTTGGAGTACTGTGATGGATTATTAGTTTAGCTAAAGGTTCTATTGAAGAAAACATATTTAATATTGTGAACCAATATTGATGGAAAAAGTTAAGAATAGCCCGAGCTACTTCCTTGTGAATTATATCAAGAATAGGACTAAAGGATGCAGCAATTATATCTACGGCATGCTCTTTGTTTTCCATTTGCAATTTGTTTACAATTCCTTCTGTGAACGACGTTAGCTCTGCTTTCAACTCCTGTTCATCTTTACATAATGTAATAAACTGATTGTGAATCTATGTAAAAAATATAATAGATTTATATGTATTATCTAATGTGTTTACACTCCCTATATTTATATATAATATATAATAACTAGTACCTCTTGTCCTTGGAACAAATCCGGTTCCTGCAATGCCACTCCAGCATTTTGTAAAATAACTTGTTGCATTTTATGGACAACATCGCCAAGTTCTTCCTCATTCTGATAGCGTTGCAAACGACAATAACTTTGAAATAAATAACATATTGCTTGCTTTTCTAGTGCATGAGAATCATCAGAAATTTCTTGAGAATCTTTAAAAGACACTATTTTTGACTCGGGGTCGGGAAGCATTAATCGCTCAAAAACTGCTTGTTCTATCGAATCAACGTCGATAAACACCAATTTTTGATTTTTGTGTACATCAGTGCCTGTAGCGTGTAACGTTATTCCAAACACGTCTGCGAAAAGATGATTAACCACCACATCGTCTTGGGAACCCTTCGAACCTTCAACATTCGTGATTTTGGTTCTATCGTGTACATTTATATTCTCAAGTTTCGTAACGTAATCGATTTCGTTATTTTCCTTTATAATAGTCTGATTTTGCGATGAGAATGACACGGCATCGTTGATAGTTGAAAACAATCCAGCGAACGGATTGTTGTCCACATTGTCGCACATTGTTCTCCCGTTAAAACTCAATCACTACTGATATAAGCATAGTTAATCTAAAAATAAGTGGATAGGATTTAATGTTCAAGCTAAAAAATATTTAAGTAAACTACGAAATGTCCTCGGATTATTCACCCTACTCCTATACGTTGCGTTCTGCTCCGCTCACACAGCGCCAATATGCTATCTATACTCTACACTTACACCATGCACATAGGCATACATTTATGTATGTATATGCTACGTAACGTAATGAATATCTCTACTGAGAACAGAGCAATGTTGATAAATAACAAGAGCGACGTATATCATTAATCATATTCATACATGTAGGTACATATACAACGCGACCCACATAATTAAGTATCTTGCACATTTCGCTTATTATCGATAAAAAGGTAAATGTAATGATAAGCAAAAAAATTTTCCCTAAATCATAGCTTTCGAAATATCGAGGTCATCGATGCTTTTTAGATAGGAATGTATATTTTCATTACCGTCACGTAATAAACAAAATCAAGACAAATCTTATTATGACACATAACATTTTGACCGTCCTGTAGCTTTAAAAAATAAGTGATAATCAATTCAGTGAAGAGATGACTATAAGAAAATGAAAGAAAATGGATTTTAACAGATGTTCAAAATTATTACTCACTACCTATGATACTCAAAATCATACGAGGTCATAATGTAGGTAGTTGTATTCACCTTGACCAAGACGTAAGATTTGAATATATCATGTAATACGCATCTAATGAGAAATAATATACTTTATATGTAACAAAATTTATTAAAAATTCAGGCACAAAGTGAGCTTGTTTACACAATATAATATTTACGCGTGTATGATACAATAAAACGAAAACGATCAAAGGCACTATTGTAATTTTACCGCCATGGTTTTCTTACGGTACCCGCACTAGTGCTCCTTTTAATATTATGATCTGAAATTTAAAACAAGTTATACATTAAAGACATATAAGTAGGAAAGGTAAATAATGATGTACGATTATAAATCTTATAAAGGTATACCTACATAAAATGTTTGGGGAAAGAATTTTTTCCTTGTCATCTGATGTCCAAGTTTGGCATCTAGATCTAGATAAACATGAACGAGTAAAAGATGGTTGATGATCTTCCATCCTAATGAACAAGAAAAAAATAAAAAATAAACCACAGTTTTATGCGTGAACAGTACTTATATAATTTAATCGAAAGCAATGCATGCGCAGACCCGCATTACTTAGTTCTCTCCTTTTAAAAATTTCGTGATACATATTGACTCACCACTACAAAAACATTATAACAACGAATTTACTTTGCAACTGGTAGCAGCAAGTAACAAAATAATTTATTTTCTCTAAATGGTATACTACATGTAAAGTATTCATTGAATCTTTTGTAAAAGATAAAGTGTTACATAATACTATGTAGTGTCATACTCCTTCAGTTTTTTCCTCGCTAAGGTCCGTTGAGTCGCGAATGAATACGATCTGGCTGATGTTGGACGCTCTGCACGAGATTGCTTGATTTCACGATCTTGCGCTATTACCTGCATTCTTTTCTCAGGTTTTTGGGTAAATAACTCCACTATATTCATAGAAGCTGCGTCACACTTTTACAAATAGAAAGATCATGATAAATGTTGAAAATATTTTTTACTAAGGATAAATTTGTTTAATTAGAAATTGTTTGCTTTCGTGAAAGCAAATTCGCGTTACTGTATGTGTAATAGCTTATTATATAATCAACACATTGTGAAATATTACCTGTAATTGTAGACGGTATAGGAAATTGGATTCCGATCGATTGAGGGGTGCATCGACATGCAGCTTGAGCATGCAATGTAAAGCTTCTTTATATGTATTTTTCAAAGCGATCACTCGTTCCGTTCGCATTATTCTACGTACTAAGTAGCCACGTGTATACGCATTGATCACATTTACAGCTTCAATCTGCAACATTGAAAGCTTTGTAAAACTTCTGCAGGCATTTAGAATGAAAATATTAATTAAAAATCATGATTTCTCACATGTTTAGACCCATATACTCTCCTATCGAGAATCGGTACGTGAACAGTTTTACTATCTAAAGGAAACAACTGTCTGCTAACGTTTAAACGTTTAGACCCACCACCATCTTTTATCAATATTTTCTCATAACTTCTATCTTTATCTGGCTGTATCTTAACTTCCTCTTTTCCCACTGCTATCACAAAATTACAGTATTTAGCATAATGATTGCACCCCTATTGTTTCAATAGACAGCAAGTACTTACTAAAACAAGATTCCATAGCAGGAAGACTGATTTCGGAGTAAGTATTGTCTAGTGGACATGGCATTAGCTTTTCATTATCGTTATGAAAATGGTCTACTTTTCTTTCGTCTTGCGAGTTATTTTTCATATTATTAGTAATTTCCGTATTAGAATCGATGTCTTCGGAGAGCTTTTCACTATCGGGGGTGTCTTGATTGAACGAAGTAGACAAAATATTCTCAGAAGGCAGTGAAACTGAAATTTCTGGAAAGGATTTTCTAATCTCGGTTAGCAAAAGTAGCTGTTGCTTCTTAAACTCTTCCTGAAGTAGAGTTTGTTCTCTTTGTTGTCGAGTAACTAGCTCCGCCATTTGATTTTTATGCATTTCTTGTACTTTTTTGTAGACAGTGAGTAGTTTATCCGAAGTAATAGTAAATTTTAACTTAGATGTAAGATCTTCTGTGTCTATGTTTCTTGGCATTACCTCCGCACAACTATCGCCGATAGGAACTTTATCATGCTCGTGCACCAAATTATTAGAAAATGGTACACTGCTATCGTTACTAGCTGCACGCTCCGGAACGCTACCACGTTTGTGCGCTAATTGAGAAGTAGAAAAATGATTACGCTTTTTTGAACTCTGAAAATCCTGTCTTCTTTCATTACTATTACGCAGAGCATATTTTCTATCACGATTATTTTCCATATTGCTCTTCTCTATGCATTCATTAGCTAACATCGTTTGAATGCAATCAACAGATCGTGTAGCTGGGAATGCTGCAAATGAGGATGTAGGTATTGTTAGCGAGGAAACTGATTTGTGTATCCATTGACCGACCTTAGAACCGCTGTTCCTCTTTTTATTTGAGGATAGTTCTAACGATTCTGTAGGAACACTGGGATTAACATTTTTACTTCTGGATTCGTATTCCCATTCCATCTTAGCACGCGAGATATTCCATTCTCTGCGATGGCCTTTATTCGAACACGGCGTTGGAATATATTCTGTACAAGGTGTAGCAGCAGAATTATGTTCCATTTGCATATGTGCAAGCAGTATCGGGCTCGGAGTATCCAGCACGTACGAACCCTGACGAATTAATTTAGGAGTGTCACCTGCATCGTTCAAATCATCTTTCTTATATACTTCATCCCCTCTGCTGCCAGGATTGTTCAATATCATTGGAATAATGTTCAAAGTAGTAGGCACTTGTGGTTTACAAACATCGGACATTGTTTCAATGGTAGTGGATTTTGTAGAACTTATTTTCTTTGCGTGCTGATCTACATCAGCTTTTGGAGGAAGCACCTCGGACTTTAAGCAAGCATTGGAAGCTAATTTAACCTGATATTCAGAATGACAATATGTGTTTGTGTCTCCATTCCATTGTGAATTCCGTTTTAAGCCTTCTGTAGAATTTTCAAATATTTCTGTTGAAAAACCGTTAGTAATTGTTTCATTTTTATTTCGATATTTATTATAATCCGAAAGGAATAAATCTTCTTTTGTATTATTTAGTGTGTTCCGAAAATTCCTTTTAATTACATCGGTATCAATGTCTTTATTTTTTTTACGAGTAACACGCATAGCTTCTAATCTTTTCTCTACACATATTGCAATTTGTTTGTAATTAAACATTTCTTCTTTGACATCCTTAGTCATCTACAATTTAAAAGGACTTGTTAGAAAAATCATGCTTAAATAAACACAATTGCTACATATTATAATCAAAATGCGTACCAACGGCGGTAAAATAGGAACTCCATTAATTTTAATACATGAAATGTACGAATTACCTTCCATATTTGATTATTACTTTCTTAATGAATTGGTAAAAATAATGTCAAGCATGTAACAAAATAAAATTAATTCAACGATATAGGCTTATTCGTCCTAATAACAGCCCCTGTCTAAGGCGGATAGAAAATCAAATACTTTTTGATACACCAATCAGAAAAAAATACATTTACAAACATACCGTTTGTTTTTGCCAAGACATAAACAAGACTACTTAAAAATAGTTTTAAGTAGTAACCTGAAAAGAATGAATTACAGTATTATAGAGAACAGTAATATCTTTTATATGTAAGTTAGATATAAAATAGAATACATCTGTCAAACATTTCGAAAGATTTCAAAAAGCGATAACAGATAAACCATGACATAAATATTTTTTTCGGATTTTTGAAATTCCTAAGATTTAACATACTCTGTCTACTTTTCCTACCGTAATAAAAATCACTACTTACTTGCATTGTGTGTTTCATGATTATATTATATTAATTTAAACATTAAAAATCCATGACAGTCTTTTCTGTTGCATTTATCAAAAGATAAAAAAGTTGTGCGCGTTGTTAACTTAATGAAGGGTACTGAACCGAAGTCACTGTATCGCCATAGATTGATATCCATGAATAAAAATTACCACGCTACTTTGAACATCAATTTATACGAAAGATTCAAATACTACCCCGATAACTGTGAAGCTTGAATGCAAGCAAGTAAATACACATGTACAAACGATATTTGGTGTTTGAATTGTTACGAGTGGCGAATTAACAGGTGGGGATATTGGAACAATTTGTTTCTGTTAGATTGGTAACCTGTTTATAATTATATACGCGCGTCGCGTATTTGTTGTGTTGTGTGACCACGCGAACATAGGTATGATTTATGATGGCGCTACCGTATTATAATCTCCAACAAATGGCGATAAGAGGGAAATTCAAATGTAAAATGTAACATTATGGTTATAACTGTAAATTTTATAGCTTATGCGGCATAAGCTATGACCATAATGTTACATTTTACCTTCACCATTTCCCTCGTATTGCTATTTGTCGGAGATTATAACGTGATCACGCAATACAGTGTTATGTGCAGGCTATGTTTCCATATTGTAATAGAGCGAAACATTTTGTATACAACTTCATACTGTAATTACAAATATGTAAAATAAAGTAAAATTATTAACAATTTACACTAAATGGTGTATATTCATTCTTCCAACGCAAATAATACAGAGGAGAATTTTCTGCATTTAGATGTATCCTGCAAAAAAGTTTATTATCAAAAATAAAGGCAACACCATGGAGAACACATTCTTTTTGTCGTTTCTGAAGTGGTTGGTTCGTGTTCTGAAGCAGGGATAAGGACTAATTATGGAAAATTCAACACGAACCAATTGGCGTTTATGCGATAGTGGCGCTTTCTGTGGCGAAATAAAGAAGCTTTGTTCAGGATCCATACAGCGCCAATTAGTTAATGATAAAACATTCAAACTACTAGTCTGCTAGCCAAATGATACCGATAGGATAAATTACACCAGCGATAGTGGCACCACTTGTGGCTGAATCTCAAAACTTCGCTCAAGCGTTCTTAAAAAGGTAGAGATCTATAGTTCATACAGCGTCAACTGATCTAGTGGTAAAACGCTCAAACTATTCGCCGAAAGTACCAACAGTCTAATTGCATCTATATACACAATGTAGGGTCTCCGAAAAAACATTAATTATGATAAAAATAGACCATAAAAAACTAAACCAAGACTATGGAATTGTTCAGGAGAATCTACTGCATCGATATCATGTGAAAAATAGTTATGACAATGCCATAATACATAATTAATTAACATAATAGTTAATTATAAACTTTAAGAAGCAAATATTTATCTTTTGCAGCTTCTTAAACTTCTTTTTTTTAATATGATATCGATGCATTAGATAGATCCTAAACGATTCTATGTCCTTGATTTATTGTCTTGTGCCTTAGATTTGTTTCGATCACTATGCATTGTGCATGTAGCAGAGATTTAGTTCGGGCATCTGCCACTATGTGGTGATAATGTTTCGATACCCGCGTTAGGGTATATAACTGTCCAGATTTATCACATCCTGGGTAACCAGGTACCGTACAAACCAGTACAAACCATCCCAATCTAAAGGACTACTCGTTAATGAAAATCAAAGTTGTTATTGACAACTCGTGCGTTTATGGAAATGGTGTTGAGAATTTAAAGCATATATTATGATAAGATTCAAAATTCGGCAAAGCGCTAAAAGATACGGACTTCTCTAATTACACGGAAATTAAAACCATTTGTTCAAGGAGTTAATGTTTCGGCGATAAAAGCGGTATCTAGATTTCTCAAAGAAAATAGTTCGAAAAACTTTAATGTTTTATAGATATACATATACACTTATAGTTTGTTAAGATATATAGTAAGTAAGTTAATTATAGTTTTTATATACCAAATCTTAAGAAATTAAGATACACTGCAATACTAAGCAATACACTGACAGTATTGTAATTACAATTGTAGTGGTAATATTAGAATAACAATAGACAAATTTAGACCCCAACTACTGTGATCACAGATACTTAAGGACAAGCAATGTACACAACTTTTTCTGGTGTTAAATTAGCCTGTACCGTTATTTAGTTTTTATATTGTCTGTAATTCTTTACTTGTACTACTAACGTTTGTATTTTCAAATTTTACGTCAGCGCTTATAAACTAACACGAGTCTGAAGACATAATAAACAAAAAGAACGAGCTATTTTTTGAAAGAAAAAACATAATTAACAATAATTATGATAATATGAATCCGATGCACAGAATCACTAGGGTAATTTCGAGACCAGGAACATTAATTTTTTAATCCACTCTGGTTTCCGAGCTGTTTAATTTTCGTGTTTTGTTTGTAAAGTGTGGTGACCGAGTCGAATTGACTTTCTGGAAGAAAGGATAAGCTGTTACTCGTCCCATATCATCTCGTATGATATCGATAGCTACAAGACAGCGTGGAAATTAAGTATTCAAGGCTTTGCAGGGAATGCATCGTGCACACGTATATACTCGCATATATCGTCATATATTTAAATTACACAACACACAAGTTACAGGCGATTTATGAACATTATGAACAAAAGTGTAGGAAGTCGTGTAGGAAGAATGCGTGAAGAATTTCGTCGCAACTCCACTCAATTTTCTATTTTCCGTAAATGAGGTATATCTGTGTTAAGATTAATATCGGCATAGTAAGTGCACTAGCCAGATTCGATCGCGCGTCGAGGAAGGGTGCTCTGAGAACGAAGGGACGCGGAGAACACGTTTAACCTTCCGTTCGAGACCTAGACCGAAAATACGAATGTGGTTTCCAAAACGAGAATATAAGTCGGGTCGGATGAAATATGTACGTCTGTTCCAAGCAATCCCGAGCGGCTCTGAACGAAAGGATAAAACGTATCCTGTGAGTTCGCGCGACCTTCTCCGTGGATCGCGTACAACTACAGGACCGATAAATAATCTTCTACTTCTTCTCTAAGGTTACAAAATATTTCTAACGCTCCGTCGATTAAGTCGCGCGGCGTGTAGAACGCGTGACGGTGTAACGCGTGCAATTTTTGGCCTGTTGCGCTCGAGATGAATCAACCATCGAGCTTCGTACTCGCGACGCATCGTCAGTCGTTCGAATCTCTTCGAAATACAAGAACATAAGAGGGGGAAAGAAAAAAAAAGCGATCGTAGATAAATAGGTTTGGGCGTAAGATGGAAGAGAGAGAGAAAGAGAGTGCGCGGGTGAAGTGAAAAAGAGACTGGGAGAGAGAAAAGGAAGAAAGAGAGAAGGAGGGAGAGAGAGAGAGAGAGAGCGAACGATGGAGAGAGGGAAAGAGCGAGAGAGGGATAGAGGGAAAGAGAAGAGAGTGTTTGCTCGTCGAGTCAAGACGAAAAGTCGTTTCGCCGTTTTTTTTTTATCTCTTATATCGCTACGTATTCGTATTGGACGCACTACATTTTAGAAGATTCATCTAGGATAATAGATCAAATTTCGAGTCGACGAACATTACGAACGCGAGCTCAAATACTAAAATCGCATATTGTACAAGTAATATTACACTAGCTACATAGTCACTGGATATGTATCGATTTTTTTTTTACACGTAGAGACACACGCACACACATACATTATGCACGCAAGTGCATAAATTTCTCGTTTACCGATGATATTACGCGTACTTACGTACAAAACATGCATACGCTTATACGTATGAAGGTATATACATAAATTTACGCAGCTATACGAATTTGTACATAAGGCATCACGATATTTTCTTTGTTTGATTCTTTTCCTTTTTTTTTCCTATAAATCGGGCATAGGAGAGAGACGAATACACGGTGGACCACGAGCGATAAACCGTTCACGGCGGAAAGCGATCTTCGTGGATACGAAGTCAGCCAAAATTTTATAAAAAAAAGAGAGACTAAAATATAGAGAAAACAGAGAGAAAGAGAGAAAGACAGAGAGCGGAAGAGAGAGAGAGAGAGAGAGAGAGAAAAGATCAGGTAGCCTGCGAAAAGGTGACCGAGCGCAGCTGTGCGAAAGAACGCGACCCGATCGTTAAGCAACAGCCGCATCCAGAAGAGTCGCGCGCAGTAGTCGGAAACGAATGCCGAAAACTTTCGATCGTCGGACGCAGACCGCATAAAAAGTGTTGACGCTTTTACTCGCGCGCCGCTCTCAAAAATACCTTTTCGACCTCGACTCGCTTTTACTCGACTCATTCGTTTCGTTCGACAGGGAGAGAGATGCCGACGTCGAGCCGCGAGCCGCGCGATTCCGACGAGCGACGTTTACGATCGGCGACTGGAGACGATACGAAAGCAGTCGCGAAAACGTCAAGCATGTTGCAAAAGAGTGCCGGGCCGCGCTTGGGAGCTGAAGACATCGAAACAAGCGTTGCGACATCGATCGGATGCCGATTCTGAAAATTTCCTTTACGACTTTTCTTATCTTCGGGGGCTCCGTCCGAGCCGTCCCGAACCCGTTCATTCGTATCTCGTAGTTTCTCTAAGATCGCGTACACCGTTGTACATACTCGCCTGGTCCATACTCGACGGTGAACATCGTACAGGCACAAAGTGTGCACTCCGCGTTCAGCTCGTTGGCTCGAAGATCTCCTCCAGATTTTGCACCGTTCGAAACAGCCGAGCTCGCACGAGATCCCGAAACGTGTCGCCGTGCGACGAGTAAATCCGACAGACGAGAACGCGGAGCCGATACGGTCGCGACGTTCGCGTTTAGTGGTCCAGCCACTAGGATCGTTGTTCGCATCGTCGCACGGACAAACCGATTTCCCGCAACCCGCTGTAACATCGCGAACAGTTTATACCGTAAGATCGATGGATGGCGCGTCGAACGAATACTAATAGTTGCGAACAACGAGTCGAGACTATTCTTCGCGTCGTTCGTGTAACAACGAGCGAATTCCGCGCGGTATCGATTCTCGCAAGAGGCCGAGTCGAATCGCCGGATCGAAACCTATCCGAGTGACGAACGCGCGCCGTGCCTAGCGGTTGGCTAGGCGAAGAGGCGGTTGTGTCCACGGTCTCCTCGGTCCTCGGTCTCCTCCGAGCCGAAACGGTATGGAAAATCCTTGGCGCGAGGGCTCGTCGCCGGAGTGTCCGACGAGCGGCTGGCCGGTCACTTGGCGTGCTGCTTCGGAAGATGTCGCTTCATATGGAGGGCGAGGTGGTCGCTCCTAGCGAACGATCGTTCGCACACCGCGCACTTGAAAGGCTTCGCGCCGGTGTGCTTTCGATAGTGACGAGTCAATTCGTCGCTTCTGGCGAACCGCCATTCGCATTCCGGCCACTGGCACTGGTACGGTTTCTCGCCTGGAATCAAAACGGGAACAACCTATAGGCGGAATTTTCGTTGCTTTCACTAGGCGTAGGTAGGCTCAGCGTCACGAGCGGTGCCCGCGACCGGACCGATGTCGCGCGCCGCATAACCTACCGATCCGCTCTGCCATCCGCGGCGACCTGCCTAGGCCGTGAAATCGACGTTCTTCACGAAATTAATCGACGACGGCGGCGCATAACAACGCGTCGCTCGACTCTCGGCCGTGGAGCTGGTTCGGGATTTCGCGAGAAGGAAAGTCGACTGGATATTAGCAACTTTTTCCTTTACAAAAATTTTCTCCGAGGCACCGTTAACGAGTTATTAACGAAGAACAGTGGCCAATGAGAAGCGAGCTCAACTGGCGCGAGCCGGCCGAGCCAACGGCGCCAGCGGTCGAGGCGACCGAGTCAATGAGCGGAACTGGGCTTCGTGCGCTGATTGGCTGGGCCGCCTCGCGTCAGCCATACTCGATTCTTATTGGTCACTGTTTTTCGTTGATAACTCGTTAACGGTGCCTCGGAGAAAATTTTTGTAAAGGAAGAAGCTGCTTTAAATGGTTCGAGGAACCCGCCATTTCCGGATTGCGAGACATTTTTGGGACACCATGTATGGCTCCCGATCCGTCTAGTTGTTTCACCGATGCGAAGTCCGAGTCGGGAGGTAAGTAGCAGGAGCCAGGAGCAGGAGCAGGAGCGGTATCGGTGCTGCGAGAACGCGATCGCGAACGCAAACGGATTGCGCTGGAATACAGGTGAGCGTGTTGCGGCATGCGGGTACAGTTAAAGGTCAGCGCGGCATCTCTCGTAGCCTTAGGTTCTCGGTACACCTATCGGTCGAGCAAAGAGCAGCGCTTTGTTCTTTGATGGGTCCCTTTTCTCGGTCCAATCGCCGATTAATCGTACCACCGGTACACCTTCGCGCTTCCAACATCCCGAGTTCCATTCTATCGATAGTTCTGTTCTCGCGTGAAACCGGCGATGCCAGAATCTGCGAAATCGTAGGGCAGGTACGTTTGAATGGAGAGAGAGAGAGAGAGAGCGAAAGGGTACGAAGGAGGCACGGGTCGCGTCGGAGCACGGATAAATGAACGGAAATTCTCTCGGGGCGGTAGAAAGGTGTGCGTATGCATCGGGAAGCTGTAAGGGAAGAGGAGACCGATAGCTGAGAAATACACCCACGCGTGCCGCTGACTCGTTGTTCTCCTCTACGAAACGGCTCTCCTCCTTCCTTTTTCTCTTTTCCCTTCGTTCTCCCGTTCCCTCGTTCGCCCGTTCCCTCGTTCGCCCGGTCCTCTCTCTCTCTCTCTCTCTCTCTCTCTCTCTCTCTCTCTCTCTTTCTTGGCATGGAGACGACCCTAACCGGTCTTAGTCGAACGCGCGACTCCCATACAATCGGTATTACCGCCATGAGCGGTATCCATTCACGGTATTGCTCGTTCATAAGANAGTTATTAACGAAGAACAGTGGCCAATGAGAAGCGAGCTCAACTGGCGCGAGCCGGCCGAGCCAACGGCGCCAGCGGTCGAGGCGACCGAGTCAATGAGCGGAACTGGGCTTCGTGCGCTGATTGGCTGGGCCGCCTCGCGTCAGCCATACTCGATTCTTATTGGTCACTGTTTTTCGTTGATAACTCGTTAACGGTGCCTCGGAGAAAATTTTTGTAAAGGAAGAAGCTGCTTTAAATGGTTCGAGGAACCCGCCATTTCCGGATTGCGAGACATTTTTGGGACACCATGTATGGCTCCCGATCCGTCTAGTTGTTTCACCGATGCGAAGTCCGAGTCGGGAGGTAAGTAGCAGGAGCCAGGAGCAGGAGCAGGAGCGGTATCGGTGCTGCGAGAACGCGATCGCGAACGCAAACGGATTGCGCTGGAATACAGGTGAGCGTGTTGCGGCATGCGGGTACAGTTAAAGGTCAGCGCGGCATCTCTCGTAGCCTTAGGTTCTCGGTACACCTATCGGTCGAGCAAAGAGCAGCGCTTTGTTCTTTGATGGGTCCCTTTTCTCGGTCCAATCGCCGATTAATCGTACCACCGGTACACCTTCGCGCTTCCAACATCCCGAGTTCCATTCTATCGATAGTTCTGTTCTCGCGTGAAACCGGCGATGCCAGAATCTGCGAAATCGTAGGGCAGGTACGTTTGAATGGAGAGAGAGAGAGAGAGAGCGAAAGGGTACGAAGGAGGCACGGGTCGCGTCGGAGCACGGATAAATGAACGGAAATTCTCTCGGGGCGGTAGAAAGGTGTGCGTATGCATCGGGAAGCTGTAAGGGAAGAGGAGACCGATAGCTGAGAAATACACCCACGCGTGCCGCTGACTCGTTGTTCTCCTCTACGAAACGGCTCTCCTCCTTCCTTTTTCTCTTTTCCCTTCGTTCTCCCGTTCCCTCGTTCGCCCGTTCCCTCGTTCGCCCGGTCCTCTCTCTCTCTCTCTCTCTCTCTCTCTCTCTCTCTCTCTCTCTTTCTTGGCATGGAGACGACCCTAACCGGTCTTAGTCGAACGCGCGACTCCCATACAATCGGTATTACCGCCATGAGCGGTATCCATTCACGGTATTGCTCGTTCATAAGAATTCCGCGGGGATTTCTCCGAGACGGTAAGGAAAGGGATCTTTCGAGTCTGTCGCTTTCCGCGACAGATTTTCTCTTCCTTCTACGAACTTCTTTCGCGCGGCTATTCGAAAAGATCGAGCGGAACGATGAGAACGATTACACCGCTGTAAGTAACGCGCGTAAACCGCGATCGCGTTCAAAAATAGAAAAGCGACGTCTCTCTCTGATCGCGCCGCGCGCCGTCATCTAATTGGCGTGTATTAAGTCATTCGATCGGCGATTCCTGGATCGCGGCTAGCACGGAATCCAGTTGTTTGCGTCTTGCACGGGCCGCGGACTCGGAACATGCGTCGGCCGCGCGACGACGTTCTTTTCCTCTTTTTGCGGCCGAGTTTTTTCCGACGGTAATCGACGGGACGAGTTATCCGACGCTCTTAAGCCGAAGATTTCGCGCGATCTTTTCCGATCGCGCACGCGACCGAACGTCGTCGCTCCGTGCGATCGGTTAACCCATCGACTGCCACGCAAGTTTAGCGCGTCTTGCCCTGGGTGCCACGGTTTTATTTGAAAGAAAACATATTTTAAAGATTTACAAAATATAATAATATTAAGTTACTGATACAATATTCCAATGGCATTTGCAGTATTTTTTTTTATTGATAATCAGTATGTTCTCTACGCTGTATACATTTTTCATTCATCCTTTCTAATAGTTCCTAACTCGAATAGCCATTATTCGTAGCCAATCTAAACTCGCAGCACCCACTACGAGATATCTCGTAGCTGGCAGTTTTGGTACAGACGCTTACTACGAGATATCTCGTAGTTGGCAGTCAATAGGTTAACGTTGCCGTAGTTTAAAGCGGCGCGCACGTAGCGAGCCTAAGCACCGTGCACTATGCAAATAGGGGAAAAAAACCGGACCGTCGATTCTGTAAATTTCCAGCCAGAAACGCGTTCGTTTCGTGACGGACGATCGAGAAGGCGAGAAACGGGAAACCGTGTTCGAATGCCGTCGCGCGTTCACGGCTGTACGGTTCGGTTCCCGATTAAATCGGCGGAGCCTCGCGTCTCGCCCGCTCGGGACGAGTTTTTACGAGGTTGATAACGTTCCAGGTGGCGTATCGCTGAATCGTGTGCGCTCCTTGGCTCGACAACACGCCTACGAGCCGCAACGCGTCCCCGTTAATTTCGGATCACTTTCACCGCGGTCTCGGTGTGTGGCGTGTGGTGTGTGGTGTGTGCTGTGTGGCGTGCGACGTGTGGCGTGCGCGATGCGGCGTGCGCGATGCGGCGTGCGCGATGCGGCGCGTTTCGAGCAGCCGGTACAGGACCGGTATCGGGGGCCCGCGCCATCGCCAATAGCATCGCGACTCGATATTCGAACGCGCGGAGACGTCTTTGCCCTGTTTCACGCCCTCGGTCGCCGTTACCCCCCGAGTCGGTTGCTGCGGCCGGCGCGGCCGGCTTCGTTCGGATTTTGCCTATCGCGGCGACCTCTTCTCGGCGCTGTTATCGGCCGCTCGAGCGTCCAGTCGGCACTCGAGCCCACTTATTACTTAACGACCATAGAGTTATGTGTAACGGTAGACGCGCGCCGTTAACATTTTCCGCGAACCGAGCCGCGGGAACGATATCGAAACGGGCAGACACGATTAATCGATCGTAGAAAATTGATTTTTCTATTTGCAGGTTACGTCGAGAGTGTTCCGGGCGGTACGATGTTATCCCTAGGCGGGTACGCTAGAAATCTGGCCAACTTGGAAGCGTGGACGAAGCAGGAATGCTGCTCGTCTAGCGCGTGCTCGTGCAAGCACATCGCGAGACTTCTCCGCTCGTTTGCACGGCAATCGACCGGCCGCCACGGTGGTATTAAAGCTCGGAAAATCATGGTCGAAATAAGAAATAGTGATGGATTTATTAGAAAATTTGTATGCAAGGGTTTTCATGGTCGCTGATTACGAATCTGAATTAAAAAGATTCCAAAAACAGAATGGCGGATGGGTTATTGAAAAAATGATATGATTTTAACAAAAATTGGTGAACATATATCTTCGAAAATCCTGATTACGAATCTGAATTTAAAAATTCCAAAAACAGAATGGCGGATCAAATATGGCGGATGGGTTGTTGAAAAATTGGGAAATCAGGAAGGTTCCGTGTCTATGCGGGAAGGTCGATCGGCTACGAAGCCGAAGGTCCTGTATACAGTAGCCTTGTTTTTTCCCCAAGATTCTACAGTAATGTTTTCGACAATAAAATTTTCGGAACGACTTCAACGATTCAGTTTGCTGACATCTCAAGGCAGAAAATAATTTTTCCATGGCTCGTGTCACATCATCGTTCGTGTCGACCACAAATCCTTCTCGTTGCAATATTTTTCGCTTAAAATATTCTATTATTGAATTATTGTCACTATTTAAGTTTTCTTTAACAATA